AATACTCGAGTATACAGAACAGGTGTTTGATGGTTATACAACTATACAAATTCAGTGCTATACAGTATATTTCTATGTATATTATCGGTGTTATAAAATACATACAGTTATCAGTTCTTATAACTACCCAAGTTATAAGAAGTTTGTTATGATGTTATACAGTACTTTTTACTGTACTCAAGGTCACGTAACTAACACAATGGTACTTTATTTACAGCACTGATGTAACTTCTTTTGAAATGAATCTTTAGTTTATACCTGAATGACTGGTGTTTTTTTTTTTTCATTTTATATACAGTACTTGTTTTATGTCCTATACTTTTCATTTATATTCGTAATTGTTTTTGTCTAGCTGTGATATGTCTTCAATAAAATTATTATAAAATCATGTGTTATTATATACAGTGGTCCCTCGGTTAACGAGCGCCTCGGTTAACGAGATTTCGGTTAACGAGTTACCTTCCATAAGATTCTTGATTTCGGTTAACGAGCAATTCCTCAATTAACGAGTTTCTTACCAGCTGACCTCCACATGTTTAAGCTTGCATTTGGCGGTCCACCAGCTGTAGTATTAGTCCGCCAATACAGTAATCGGTTCTAGGGCTTAAATTCCTTACCCTTTTACTAAATATCAAGAAGTTTATACTGTTCAATAATTTTAAAAGTTTAATATTAAATTTTTTAGTCATTTTAACAATTATTGAACATAATTGAAGGTAAAGAAACTTGTTTGTGGCGCACCATCCAGCCTCTCAACACACCATACAGGCGTTAGTCTTTGTGTCTTTTCAGTGGAGGTAACATCTTGCTTGAGACTCTCTTCAACTAAACGCTTTTTTTCTGTGTTTCCAAGCAAATTACTGGTCATTTTGAAATTTATTTTACATATTGACAATATATAATGCAGTGCAGTGTTGATTTAAAGAAAATAATCTTGAATTACACCAAGAGAACTAAAATTATATGGGTGAAATGGTGCCATGGGGTGACTTCTCTTCCACCCCAATGCCTTCTCTTCTCCCTTCTCCTCCACCCCCATTCTAATTCCCATCATCATCAACCAGGAGCCTTCTACATGTACACCTCAAAGTAAGTGTACTTTACAGCATTTATTTTTAGTTTGAATGTAATTTTCGGTGAGCTGGAACCAATTACCCAAAAACCCATTGAAACAATGGTTTCGGTTAAGGAGCAACCTTCTAGAATGGATTGTGCTCGTTAACCGAGGGACCACTGTACCATGAATGAGACCCCTTTATTTCTGCCGCAGGTATCTTAATAAACAGTTGTAAGCCTAACCTATACGTTTCACTCACACAAACACACTCCTCTTTTCCTTTCTTTCATCAAACTCCAAATATTGTATTCAATCGGTTACTTATAATTCAATGTATGTAATGTGTTCCTATCTCTTAATATAGTTTCTTGCAGTGGCGTCTCGTCCATGAAGGCAGGCTACAGCCCAACTACAAAACTGCCAAACGTATGAGACATCTACTTCTATTCCAGAATTAAACAGTTTCATCAAATTATTATTAACAAATTCAGTTAGAATGTTGTCTTCATTATTTACCGACACCATTTCCAGAAAAATAATACACATAAACTTAGTTGCAATCATAGCAAGTTGGCAACTGTACGTTCTTTTTACGCATTTAGCATCATTTTTTTTTCAATTTCAATTGTTTATTCCTTGATAGAGGAAGTGGGATCCTAGTGCTGTCACTAGGTACTCCTGTACAATGACACCAGAAGCATCTGGCAAGTGTGACAAGTATATACAGTATAAATATTATAAAGGGGCTTCCTAAAGCCTAAGGAAGGAAGGATATTCCTTTAACACATAATCAATGTTATTTACATAATATCTGGCCAGTATGGGGAGGATCATCGTGTCTCCGTCAGAGGGTCGTGGAGTGGTGGTCCAGCAGGCGTCACGGAAGCGTTGTGTGTGGGGACATCTTAGGAGGTAGTGTATAAGGGTGCGGCTGTCGGGTCTTCTGCATAATGCACAAGAGCGTTGCTCAGGGGATGCGGGGATACCAATCTCCCAAGCAAAGTCATACCCAATGATGATACGGGCAGCAATCACGTCCCCTTTCCGCCACCCTTTCCCATAGACGTACGAGAGGTCAGGAAGTTTACGGAGGACATCATACCAGGTGGGCGGGGAGTCTAGGGGGATGGCTGCTTCCCGAGCTTCTCTCTGTTTGCGGCGAATTTGGGTCCTAAGCTGTAAAAGTGTTCGAGGAACAACGTATTCAGGTGTAGCCTTGTTGCAGCCAGTCTTGGCAAGGCCATCTGCTGCCTCATTCCCCAAGATACCTACATGACTGGGTATCCATAGGAATGTCACAGGACGGCCTGCATCCTGAAGTGTGGATGTTAACCCTCGTATTCGGAGGATGAGGCCCTTGTTTTACCCTGATCCAAATGCGATCCTGTCGAGAGCAGACATGGAATCGCAGCAGACAAGCAAGGGGCAGACACCATCTGCTTCTTCCTCAGCGATAAGGGCAGCAAGGAGGGCTATTAGTTCAGCCTGAGTGGAGGATGCCCCATCAGAAACTCTGAGAGACAGTTTGATAGGCTCGGGCATCAGGACGGGAGATGTAGACACCAGACCCGGCCCGACCTGTAGCGGGGTCAACAGAACCTTCAGTGTAGAGGACGACCCTACCTGGGGACCAGTGGACGTTCCTGGAGAGGTGGTATTTGGGATTTTGGGAGCGGTCTACCGAGGGCAATCACTTCAGGTTGAAAATCCAGTCAGGGAGAAGGAGACGAACCAACAACAGGGGTGACAACACTATCAGGCAGGAGGTCGTGTTCCTGAAGTGCTCGGATGAGTGACCCTCGCCACTGTCTTCTAGATGGAGGTCGGCCTCGGATAGCAGGAGTCAAGTTGGCTTGGACATAGTTGCCCTGAGGATCCCATAGAATGGAAACGGCAGATTTTAGGTAAAACTCCTGGACACAATCCTGTAGGGGGGATAGACCAAGTTCGGTATATAGAGAAGTAGAGTGTCCACTGAGAGGCCTCAAGGATGATACGAGCAGCTTTCCTCTGGATAACTTCGAGACGGTTGACAGCAGTCCGAGTAATGTTGACGAGGGCAGGGGCAGCGTAGTCAACACAGGAACGAAGAAAGGACTTGTACATGGTGAGAAGTACAGGGATGGTGGCACCAAGGGAACCCCTGCACATGGTAGAGAGGGGAGCGAGACGCCGAAAGCATATGTCTTGAAGATAGCGGACTTCAGGGATCTGACAACGTGTGCTAGTTACATGCACACCCAGTTATTTTGTCTCATTAACCCAGTCCAAGGGCGTTCCTGATAAGAGAAGGGGTGGAGGTACAACACGACCATGCCACATGGCTTTTGTTTTCGCAGTTGAAAGAAGGAAACACACACACACACAGTTTATGTTCGCCATCAATCAATCTTTCTAATCTCGACACCAACCCCTTAAACCACCACACACAAACTGTAACACCAAGTGATATGAGAAACTGGTACATCTTCTCAGTGATTACTATATTAAAGATTATACTAGAATATTAATACAGTATATGCCCATATCCCCTCTACTCCGTCAGCAGCCGCGCGACAAAATCGTTCTATTGATAATGCTCCATTGCCACAGGAAGCATTCTAGAACACTGTAGGTGACTTATAACTCGCGTTTTATAAGTGCTGTACTATACAGTTATTTCAGGGGTCACGTAAATGTGTGAAAGATCCCACTAACTCATTTTATTTCCAAGTCACGCGACAAAAATACGTTTATGCGAGTACTTTGAGGCTAGTTTGGTGGTGATGATAAATGTTGTGGATAGTCAAACATAATGTATGTATCGTAGCTCAGTGGGAAGAGCGCCAGTTGGATTGTTTACTTGCTGGAAGTCGCAGGTTTGAATCCTCCCGGGGCTACATGTAATTTTGTTTTTTGGCATTACAGGTTACAGTATACACTGCTTAGTGATTCAATAAGTATGTTTTCTTCCTTAGGTTTATTTTCCCTTAAGCTTAATACTACTTGTAAATATTAGATGTTTTTCTTTGTGGATGTGGTTTACATCACACTTTAGTTCTGTAACAACTACTCCTACAATAAATAAAATTACTACACTTTTTGGTAGTATGCACAGATTACACCCTTATGAAGCCTTTAACACAAAGAATTTACAGTGAAATATTTGTATAATAAATTAACTACTGTGAGAACTCTCTGGCCATTGCAAGGTGAATCGGGCAACTAAATTATTAGGTCTTATAAGAAGGTCGTTCAGATTTCTAGGCGGACCATCCCTCGAAACGATCTCCAAGAGTGAGAATGTCCGAAGGAGGGCCACCAGACTGGTGCTTGCACTACGGTACCTCAGCTACCCAGAGAGATTAGAGCGCCTGAACTTGCCTAGCTTATACTACAGACGGGCAAAGGGCGACCTAATTGATGTGAATAAACATATCAAAGGGTACTACCCCATCGAGTGCCCTTACTTGGAGCTGGTGAATGCTCGTCCCACAAGGGGTCACAGCTCAAGGTTGAAGAAGCAATAAGCCCAGAAAACCATGAGAAATAACGTTTTTGGAGTGAGATTTGTAAACTCTTGGAAAAATCTGCCAGTGTGTTGTGACGGCACCGAGTGTGAGGCTTTCAAGACCAGACTTGACCAACACTGGAGCGGGTTCAGGTACATTCAGGAGCCAGTGCATGCCCAGTACTTGCCAACAGTGCGTAACAGAGACATGACCAATCACCCAAGTGGCTAACGAGCCGATCATTGGTGAAGAGAGTAAATGTAAGTAAGAGACATCCTTTACTGTTCTAATACACTGTAACTCAACTTTACTTAAATTACTTATGTTAGTAAGTTATAAACTCGCTTCTACAGTAGTTTGTGTAATAGGTTTACCTACCGAGCTGCTAAGAACAAATCAGGGGAATGCTGTGACTTGGGTTCTAAACTTGCAGATTGAAATAAAAGAATCAATTAGTCTAGAAAATTTATTAATCTATATTTACTAAACCATTCAGTGTTCACATGAACCAAACTAAGTTATCTTTCTTCTCCAGTACAATATGATATGATCAGGTTACACGGTATAAAATATATAAGCTAATTGCTAATCAGATAAGAACCATGAAACAAAAGACTGCTTAAAACTACAGTACTATACCAGTTATTGTACACTATAGCTTACTTCACTAAATTAACCATGAGCAATGTACTTCATATAATAACTCTCAAACACTACTTATCAATGCTTTTTTGATTGGCTCTGCTGTACTGTACTACCATCAGTTACACAATACAGTACAGTACAATACTTAGTATAATAACTTCATACTCAAAATATTCTCCAACCGATCTATACATTAAACAAGATCCACTAACAGTGAATAAGCAAATACATATTCATTAAATGGCAAGTAAAGAACAATTTGGAGAAATGGAAGACCATGAATACTTTGTTTCCCATATGACCATTTACTAAGTGAATTCATGACAATCAATGGCACACATTTCTTTCAAGTATAATACTTGTAATGCCGAGGCATTTTCTAACTCAGGACATAATAATGCCTCTTCCATACTATATCTTATGTTTATAGACTTCATCACAGTATTCAAGGTTCACATGACTACACAATTCATACAGTAGTTAATTAGCTCCAAACTTGGCCATCTTATTGTATAATGGAGCCTTCATGAACCTGGGTGAAGACATGTACTTCTTGATCGGCTCCAGCTCCTCCACTCGCTTTTGGAATTCCTTAAGGTTCTTGGCATCCTTGAGGCAGATATCACTCAGCTGCAAGTGTTGATCCAGCAGCTCATACATTATGAAGTCCACAAATGTGATCTGTGGGAACAGAAGTCACTAACATGAGTACTGGGCAGAATACCCTGTACGATGATGAATCACAAGAGCCCTGATAATATGCAGTGGTGACAATAGCCAGCCTGATTTAGTAGTAATTAATGTTCCATAATTCGATAAACATCGAGACATATTGGCCTTACTTCTATCCAAAATAGATTTTACTGTCTTCAGTAAAGCAATTTTTTATTTGTTTGGTTTTAAACAATTTACAATATTTTCTTATAAAATTTGTCACCTGCACTTATTTTATGAAATAAGAGACAAGAGACATTAACATGGTTAAAAAGTTACAACTGGAGCTGTGGTGGTGACACTGTATCTGTTGGCTGTCAGGAATGGAGCTGTGGTGGTGACACTATCTGTTGGCACCCTTAGCATCTGTGGCGCCCTTAGCATTTGCTAACCTCGCCTAATGGAAGCGGCGGCCCTGTTCACAACACTAAGACAATCTTATGTAATCACTGTCCAATTTCTGCCGCGCAACAACGAAGGCCCGATTGCCAAACACGCTTTGTTACAGAGACGCAATACGACCCGACCCGCACACTAACATGGTTAATTCGTCGTACTTAAGGGATATCATAAAACAATGCGTTATCAGAAGACTCAAGGTGTTCTTCGAGAGAATCTGCTGGTCACCCTACATGGGCAGGAAGCTCCTCACATCCAGGGTCGTATCTTGAGTTGTATGTATGCAAGGGGTGTATACTCATGATCTTCTAGCCAACAGCAGGTGGATGGCCCATCAAAGGAGTCACCTAACTCGGAGAAGGGCCTTGTCGGGTAGATATAGCTGCAGCTTTTCCACCACCACCCACCTCCTCCCCCAATCTCATTAGAACAGCTTCCTGGTGGGGCAGAGAACAACACTTTGTGAGTTATTGTTTGCAGATTATGAATGTTATTTATCATTTCACTATATATCAGCTTACTGGCCTTTTTGGGGCAGTTGGTGCATTCTTTGTTACTTTGTTAGAAACCTCATTTGTCCAGTGTTAGTACAGGAGGAAACCCGTGATGTTTGGTGGGGTTAAACCTGTACTTTACAATGTACTATCGTGCACAAAAGTCGTGTCCACTACCCAGCCACAGTGAGGTTTCGAATAGCCTTGAGTCTGAAGTTTCGAAACAACTGGGGGAAATGTTATGGTCGACCAACAGATGTTGCCCACTGTAGTGTGTGGGGAGAATAGAGGAGGTGGGGGTTAGTCTAGTAACAGGCTGTGTGTAGGTGGAGCATAACATAGTGAATTCTGAAATCACTGATAGCAATAAGAATGTCATGAAGATAGTTAATATTATTAAGCATGTGTAACGGGTAAATAAAAGCACTACAACGACCATATCTCTGCCGTTCATGGCTATGACGGTGAGACTGATGGGCACACCAGTAATTAATTCTCTGTGACTACCAGTAAGTCTGAATACTATTTTACAATACTGATAACTTTTCACTCCGCTCTTTTTAACATAAGTATATAATTGTATAATATTGCATATTATCACAAATATTTATTAAGCAAAGGATGGGTGGAATATAAATAAATATTACCATAATCTCTTTGTCGGAATAACAACAAAATTGTGACGTGGTCGCTGAGTAAAACTAGCTGACCAAGGCCCTTCACCCTGATCCTTGCATATTTCACTTTTATCATTAATATATTCCATTCTTTAAAGGATCATTGTGACCTGAGCGACAATAAGCACCCAGGGCACTGCATCTGTTCCATGAATTCTTAACCATAAAGAAACAACTGTAAGACAAAACGTAGTTAAAAAGGCAGCTTGAAATTATGGTGGTAGGCTATAAATAATAAATAAACCTGCCTCTCATCCAGCCCCCACCTCCTCTATCCCACACACACACAGTGGGCGACATCTGTTGGCCGACCATAGCATTTCCCCCAGCTGTTTCGAAACTTCAGACTCAAGGCTATTCGAAACCTCACTGTGGCTGGGTAGTGGACACGACTTTTGTGCACGATAGTACAACTCAAGCAACACCAACGCACATCTGTAATGTTTACAGGTGATAAAGTTTGAAATATTTTTATATAGTGCATGAGACACTGCCACACTGTATAATAATAGTAGTTTGGCTGCACTTTTTTAGTTTAAGTTAAGTTATGGTTGGGTTAGAATATGGTTAGGTTAGGTTAAGTTACACCTTAGGTTAGGTCAGTTATGGTTAGGTTAGGTTAAATTACACCAAAGGTTAGGTCAGTTATGGTTAGGTTAGGAATAACCTATGGTTAGATGAGGTCAATTTAGATTAGGTAAGGTTAGGTTATGTTATATTAGATTAGGTTAGGTCATTATATAGTTAGGTTAGGTTATATTGGGTAAAGTCATGATATGGTTATGTTATGTTATGATATGGTTAGGTCAGGTTAGGTAAAGTCATGATATGGTTAGGTTAGGTAAGGTCATGATATGGTTTGGTTAGGTCATGATATGTGATATGGTTAGGTTAGTATGATAGAAACAGAGAGAAGTTGGTTACCTTGCGGTTTAGGATCGTTGTCTTGGTCGTGTGTTGAGAAAAACATGAAGTTGGAGTAAGCGAAGACATCGTCCAGGGTGCTGTTGGGGTTGTACATGCGAACATTGAGTCTGTACCTGAGGGAGACACAGACACACATAAATGGCTTAGTTGGTTAGCTCTGTTCGAATTACCTTAATGTTTACCATTATTATATACCAGCACTGTCAAGGTACATTGTATGTGTATCTTCGCTGTCAAGGCAGGCCCCGGGAGATATATCTGGGGCCTCTGGTGTTATGTACAATATGTTTTACGGGCCCTTCCTTCGTCTGAGGCCCCCCAACTCACCCCTCTTTCCGTAATAGGGCGGACCAGCATTTTAGCTTAACGTCCGTGTAGGTAACTTTTTTACTTTTATCCTCTTCACCAAATGATCGACTCGTTAGCAGCTTGGGCGATCGGTTACGTCTCTGCTACACATTGTTGGCAAGTACTGGGCATGCACTGGCTCCTGAATGTATCTGAACCTGCTGCAGTGCTTATCCAGTCTGGTTTTGAAAGAGCTCACACTCGGTGCCGTCACAACACTCTCTGGCAGATTGTTCCAAGAGTTCACAACTTTCACTCCGAAAAAGTTACCCTTCACAGTTTTCCGGACTTGCGGCTTCTTTAACCTTGAGCTGTGTCCCCTTGTGTGGCTAGCATCCGCCAGCTCCAGGAAACGACACTCGACTGAGTAGTGCCCTCTCAGATGCTTTTACACCTTAATTAGGTCGCCCCTTGCCCGTCTGTAGTATAAGCTAGCCAAGTTCAGGCTATCCAATCTCTCAGGGTAGCTGAGGTGCCGCAGTGCAGGCACCAGTCTGGTGGCCCTCCTTTGGGCATTTTCAATCAGCTGACAGACCCTAGTATATCTCGGGGACCAGACGGGATGGTAGTACTCCAAGCGGGGAAGCACTTCACTCTTGAAGGTCGTTACGACCTTCTTAAAAGACCTAATAACTTAGTTGCCAACACACACACCTAGGTCTCATTTAATGCAGTCTCTTCGCCTCCTTACTGTTGGTACATCCCAGGTGCATCCTCTTACACTTCGTGGCACTGAATCTCAGCAGCCATTTCTTCGACCATTCTTGAAGCTCACAGAGATCCTTCTGCACCTCTTCATAGTCAGCTTGGTTCTTAATTTCCCGAAATAACTTGGCATCATCTGCAAACATTTGTATGGAGGAATGTATAGCTTCAGGCATGTCATTTATGAAGCAAACAAACAGCAGCGGGCCCAATACACTGCCCTGTGATACCCTGCTTCTTAGAGGTACAGATGATGATTTCGTACCATTAACCACCACACACTGCTTGCGGTCGCGTGGTAAGTCCTCTACCCACACTAGGACATTTCCCCGAATCCTGTACCCTTCCAGTTTAATTTTCAGCCTTTCGTGGGGTACATTGTCAAAAGTCTTGACAAAATCTAAGTAAATATTGTCGATATTACCACCCTGATCTAGAATTTGGGTTCAAATATCCATTAACCTGAGTAATTGTGGCAAGCAGGAGTGTCCCGGCAAAAAACCGTGTTGGCAATTATTTACGAGGTTGTTTCGCAGTAGATGTTCCATCATGGCATCTCTTATAATGCTCTCAAGTACTTTACATACTATGCTTGTTAAGCTCACTGGTCTATAGTTATTCGTTGAGTGACGATCGCCCTTCTTGAAGATAGGACTCACATAAGCCATTTCCCAATCACTGTGGACCTTCTGTTCATCCAGGCTTTTACAGAACGGGATCTTCAGGGGCTCAGCAAGCTCGGTGCACAGCTCCCTCAGCACTCTGGGATGCACCATGTCCGGTCCGGGACTCTTATGAACCTTTAGTTTTGACAGTTTATTTCTTATAATTTCTTCTCTGAACACAATGTGGGTCAGTGCTGTGTCGTACCGCCTGTCCTCAAACACAGGAAAATTGTTTGCACATCTTCTTGTGAACACCGAGGAAAAGAAGCTGTTCAATGCCTCGACTTTGTCCTGGCCAGATTCTGCATACCTACCATCATCAAGCCTCAGATCCGATACTCCTATTCGTGTTTTTAATTTCGACTTTGCATGGCGGTAAAACGCCTTTTGGTTTGTCCTGGCCTCGCTTGCAAACAGCCTCTGGAAGTCCTTTTCAGCCTTTCTACACTTTGCTTGGATCCTGGATCTTGCATACATCCTTCTGTTCAGCTCATCGTTCGACCTGGGTTTTCTTCTTAACTTTATCGACCGTCACATGGTTCATTGTGAAGCGGTCTCCTTGTATTTCTGGGTTTGATCTTGGGGTATGTATTTCTCGATCAAGTGATTTACTTTACTAGCTATGATATTTAGTATAGTGTAGGGGTATCGAGATATTCATGTTGTCTAGCACTCAGGATGGAAGGAAACTCTAATGTGGTTTTCTTGTATATTATAAGTTATATGATAGACAGTCTGGTGCTGGAGGTGCCGTGTGGTGAGGAGCTGCTCAGGAGAGACGTTCGGTGAGTAGCGTGTTGAAGGAGGTAGATGTGCAGGAGCTTCGTTAGAGAAGATGTTGCCTGTTGCTGGCCTCCTGGTTGAATGAATGCTGACAGCGTGGAGCTTGCTGGAGGAGGTTTTGCTTGTTCAGGAAGATGGGCAGAATGAGACTCAATGGAGAGACAGAGCTTATATACCCAGCAGCCGCTATGAGTCATGTTGGGAAAACCCAGAAAGTCGCCGGTTCCTGGTTCCGTTGCTAAGATACGGTAACATCTGGTTGGTTGCTAGGGAAGGCGGTAGCAGGTGGTGGCTGTGGCTACTCAGTTGTAGGCAGTTGTAGGGGAGACGTCCACTACAATAGCGTCTGCATTCTTATGTCTTATGCCTTAGCATTCCTACTAATCTTTTAAAAAACACATATCCACAATATGTTTTCTCCACGAAATATAGTATAATTTAACTACATTTTACAAGTTCTACCACATGACGAACTTATACTTTTCTCATTGTATGTAGTTATATTTCAATACAAATTGTTTACATATTTTTACAACTATATAAATTTTGGTGGAAGCTGGGTAAGCGGCGAAAGGGGGTTCGTAACAATATTTTAACAATGAACTAAGATTCTCGGACCATTGTGAGAAGGTGAATCAAGCTTCTAAGCAAGCAGGTCTTATAAGAAGGTCGTTCAGATAACCCTCATAATGTCCAGAGGAGGGCCACCAGACTGACTGGTGCCTCGTTACCCCAGTTACCTTAAGTTGAATAAGCCGCTAGGTTAGAAAACTGTCAGGGCAAACTTTTTAATTGGAGTGAGACTGTGAGAGTTGTGAACTCATGGAATAATCTACCAGTATTTCTAACCGAGGCGTGACCGACTGCCCAAGCGACTAACGCGAGGCTGATCAGTGGTGAAGAGGATAAAGTAATGTAAGTAAAGATGAAGTTAATGAGGAACAGCACCATGTTAAGAATAGAGAGGGAAGCATGAACTAACACCTCACACTACTCACTTCTCCTCCTCGCTGCTGACAGAGAAAGAGCCCCACTCAGCGAACGCCTCCTCACCGTCAGTATTCTTCACATCGATCCGCATGATGTAGTCACTGCCTCCCGTGATGAAGTGTAGTGCCTTGTTGCCTGTACGTTATAATGTATTACTGTACTTTAACAACTAAGGTCTTTAAGTGGGTATTCAAGATCAGTAGTGTACATACAAATCATCTTCTATGTCCAAAGAAAACCACTTTTTGTTATTTATAAATTTTTGCATAATTTTAGGCTAATGATGTTGTTAATTAAGGTCAATAAGATTACAAAAAACATACTTAATGACTTAGCGTGGGGTTGTTATTGCTTAAAACCTCTCTCTCTCTCTCTCTCTCTCTCTCTCTCTCTCTCTCTCTCTCTCTCTCTCTCTCTCCATAAACTGTATTTTCTTGCACACCACCACTACAAGTATCCCCAAAACACCACCACCACTACAAGTATCACCAACAGGAGTTGTACCCAGCCAGTGGTCGCCCGTCAGGTCCCCGAAGCCCTGCGCATACTCTTGCCAGCTCCTATTGAAGGCGAGGTGAGGAGTGAGGCTGCTGTCTCGGGTGAGGAACACTGTCCACCCACCTCTATCTGTCTCTTGGTCACAGTACACCGTCACGTTCGTCCCTGGCCTGACCACCCAAGCAAGCCAGTGAGGAAGGAACTAGCATTAATAATAATAATAATAATAATGATGTCTTGTATCTTTTTATTGGAAATTTATGTAAATAAGGTTGATTCACCACAGTGTTTCCTTCTTCTCTAGTTCAGGATTGTATACTTTGGTCATGACTAAGTAACTTGGAACACTTAATTTAACTGGCGTCTACCCGACTTAAAAAACTACGTATAGCAATGTTATTGTTATCCATCACCGCATCTTTTGGGGCAAGTTTGGAATGCGACGGATGGCGTGATATAAGTTGGGTTAGGATTGAACGAGTTGGGTTAAGTTTAGTTGAGTTATATTAGCACAGGCTAGGTAGGTTAGTTAAGGTTTGGTCAGGATAGTTATAGTTAGGTTATGGTGGGTTAAGTTAGGTTAGGTTAGGTTAGGTTAGGTTTAACTTACGGTCTTGGGTAGATAGTATACACGTCACTCTTGGTAAAGCCCATGGTCAGCACGTCCTGGCAATCTGCGGCACCACTCGTCCTCGTCCTGTGAGGTAACAGCACGTCACTACCCTCGTCACACACACACACACACGTCACTACCCTCGTCACACACACACACGTCACTACCCTCGTCACACACACACACGTCACTGCCTCGTCACACACACACACACGTCACTACCCTCGTCACACACACACACACACACACACGTCACTACCCTCGTCACACACACACACGTCACTACCCTCGTCACACACACACACACACGTCACTACCCTCGTCACACACACACACGTCACTACCCTCGTCACACACACACGTCACTACCCTCGTCACACACACACACGTCCCCCACACCACTCCACCCTCGTCACACACGTCACTACCCTCGTCACACACACACACACACGTGCTACCCTCGTCACACACACACACGTCACTACCCTCGTCACACACGTCACTACCCTCGTCACACACACACACACACGTCACTACCATCGTCACACACACACACACGTCACTACCCTCGTCACACACACACACGTCACTACCCTCGTCACACACACACACACGTCACTACCCTCGTCACACACACACGTCCCCGTCACACGTGCTACCCTCACACACACACACGTCACTACCCTCGTCACACACACACACGTCACTACCCTCGTCACACACACACACACTCTACCCTCGTCACACACACACACACACACACACACGTCACTATACCCTCGTCACACACACACACACACGTCCCACCCTCGTCACACACACACACACGTCACTACCCTCGTCACTACACACACCTCACCACCCTCGTCACACACACACGTCACTACCCTCGTCACACACACACACACGTCACTACCCTCGTCACACACACACACACACGTCACTACCCTCGTCCACACACACACACACACGTCACTACCCTCGTCACACACACACACGTCACCCTCGTCACACACCACACACGTCACTACGCCCTCGTCACACGCACACGTCACCTACCCTCGTCACACACCGCACGTCACTACCCTCGTCACACACACACGTCACTACCCTCACACACACACACCCTCGTCACACACGCACACGTCACACACACACACGTCACTACCCTCGTCACCCCTCACACACGCACGTCACTACCCTCATTACACACGTCACTACCCTCGTCACACACACACGTCACTACCCTCGTCACACACACACACACGTCACTACCCTCGTCACACACACACATCCACGTCACACACACACACGTCACTACCCTCATCACACACACACACACACGTCACTACCCTCGTCACACACACACACACGTCACTACCCTCGTCACACACACACACGTCACCACCCTCGTCACACACACACACACGTCACTACCCTCGTCACACACACGTCACTACCCTCGTCACACACACACACACGTCACTCGTCACACTCACTACCCTCATTACACACACACACACGTCACTACCCTCGTCACACACACACACACTACCCTCATTACACACACACGTCACTCATCGTCACACACACACACGTCACTACCCTCGTCACACACACACACACACGTCACTACCCTCGTCACACACACACACGTCACTACCCTCGTCACACACACACACGTCACTACCCTCATTACACTAGTACTACTCCTCCGTTGTCACTCAGACTCGAGTATGACGATCATCCAGTTAAGGTAAAATAATATGAGTTATTAAGGATGTCACCTTCATTGGTGAGTTCTGAGGTGACTAAAAAGGCCGATACGGGACCGGCAGTGCCGTCACAGATGTTGCACGTGTGGAGGGCTGCATCTAGTGCGGGAGGGGTGATGGTAGCGTTTTTCCGGCCTTGGCGCGTGTCTGCCTCGGTATGCAGTCGGACTAACACGAAAGTATTGAAATGTGGTGCTGCTCGAAGCATTAAGTTGTGAAATAATCGTCTCCCAGGTGAGGGAGTCGATTTGGCACTTTTTCAGGTTTGTCATAAGACTGTACTTATACCTTTTCAGTTGCCTGCCAGCGTTACATTTACTATTCGTTAGATGGCTGTAAAATAGCTGCTTTGGCAGTCTACTGTCGTCACTGCAGGCAACATGGCCAGTCCAGTGTAGCTGTTCATGGATAATTTTAGCCTCGATGCTCCTACAGTTGGTGTCAGCGAGAATACTGGCATTCGTTCTCTTCTCTTCCTAGCGACTCAGAGGATGGAACGTAGACTACGTTGGTGAAGTTTTCAAGTGCCTTGAGATGCCTCTTGTATGTGACCCATGTCTTGCTGCCATATAGCAGGGTGGGGAGGACCACTGCTCGATATACGTGCAACTTGTAGATAATTTCATCTCCCTACAACTGAAGACACGGGTATGAAGTTTGCCAAAGGCTTGAGATGCACATCTGATCCGATGTTGAATCTCTTCATCGATGTCCGCGGTGGTGGGCAGGTGGGAGCCGAAATACCGAAAGTGTGTATCATTAGAGAGGGTAGTACCGTTAAGCTGGATGGATGGTGGAGGTGTGTCTGAACCAGGGGCAGGCTAAAAGAGAATCTGAGTCTTACGTACATTTACCTCAAGGCAGAAGTGTGCATACGCACCTGCGTAGGTGTTCAGGATCTCCTGTAGGTCCCGCTCAATGAGAACAACAGGGGTGAGGTCGTCTGCATACTGAAGGTTAGTGATGGAAGCTGCTGACACCTTTGTTCTTGTCTGAAATCGTCTTATGTTGAAAACACCCTTCACCCAGTACTTGTTGTCCAACCCGCTGGCTGAATTGGCACTGGCATGAGTAAGGAAGGCAGCCAAGAAAATGGAGAAGAGAGTTGGTGTCACTGCACATCCTTGTTTAACCCCGTTTGGATGGGGAATAACTCAGACTGGATGTCATTGTGCAGAACACTGCCGTTCATGCCATCGTGGAGTTGCCTCACAATAGCGATGAATTTTAGTGGGCAGCCAAAGCAGCTAAGGGTCCGCCAGAGGGCTTCTCTGTTGCCCGAGTCGAAGGCTTTGGTTAGGTCAATGAAGGCTATGTACAGGTCACCCAATGCTGTTATCTGCACTTTTCCTGTATATAGCGGGCAGCAAAGATCATTTCAGTGGTGCCACATGATGGTCTAAAGCCACATTGAGATTCTGGGAAAAAGTTTTCCACCTCAGGAAGAAGTCTGTTGAGGAGGACTCGGGTGATAATCTTGCCAGCTACGGACAGCAGTGAGATCCTGTGGTAGTAGTCACAGTCTGACCGGTCTCCATTGTTCTAATAAATATTGATGATGGAGGCATCTTTAGGAGCTTGGGGGATTTTCTCCTTTTCCCATATATTCTCCAGGAGAGAGTGGAGACGGCTGGTAAGCAGAGGTCCTCCTGCTTTATACACCTCGGCCGGGATATCCATGAGGCTCTGAGGCTTTGTTATTTTTCATGTGTTTGATGGCAGCAGCTACCCCATCCAGGGATGGAGGATAGCGGAGGTGGTCAGCTCTGGATGCTGAGGGACCTGCTGTGTAGTCAGGACAGCCACATCGGTGTTTGTTTGAGTGATGAATGGTAGTGATCTTTCCAGCACTGAAGGATGCCTTCTTCATCTTTAATTAGGGAGTTACCGTCGGATGAGCGTCATGGGGTGCTGGTTGATCCCAACAGCCTGTGTAGGATGCATTGGAGGATGGCAAAGCCAACTCCATAAATGTGGTTTCTCTCTGCAGCAGGCTTACCCTTTCAGAATATGGTGTAGCCAGACCCCCGTTCAGTGATTCGACCCTCTTCTGGGGGCCGAGACTCACTAATGGCTGCTAGGTCAATGTTATACCTAGCCAGCTCTTTTGCCACAAGGGTAGTTCTTCTTTCAGGATGCTCATTTGTTCCAGTATCCACTAGAGTCCTTATTGGGTATGGTTGCCCAGTCAGGTTGGTCCTTTAGGCAGGCTATGTTTAGGGCATCTTTTCTAGCCCCCTCCCCATGTGGGGGTGAGAAGAGTGGCTCCTCGAAAGGGCTGCTCAGTCGCACAGACAGGACCGAACTGCACTGCTGCCTAGATCCCAGTTCATAAACTATCATCTTATCTATGGCGCCCATGTGCAGAGTTGTGACTAGAGACTCCCAGCAGTCATCTCTGCCTGTCCCAGTCGTCACTCGTCTGTCGTCTTAAGACTTTTGGGGTATAGGGGTTTTGATGATAATGAGAGGTATGATGAGCTGGATGATGTCTGTGAGTGAGTTGATTTATGTGGTGAGGCAGGAACGCAGGCTGCAACCACACATCTTGGCTCTCCCTTTTCCTGCTCCTGTGATGCAAGTGTTGCAATGACTGGGGAGAGGGAGCGATGCAATGGACTACCGATAACCCATTTGTTGGGTTTCGCCTTAGTAGCCTGTCCATCATGCAATGCCTTCCACCGTCGGTGTAGTCATTGGGTTCTTACTGGTGCTCTGTGAGCATGTCTGCCTGATGCGGGGCTCCACAGCAGATTTTTCATTCAGGGTTTACTCACGAAGCCTTATACCTGCCAAAGTTAATCCGAAAGGCAGCGGGGCAATGCTTGGTAGGCGCCAGGACGTGTCCACATGCAAGTGGGTCTATGTGCCGTCCCTCTGGGGCCCACTGCTACTCCGAGATCTCCTGCTGGTCTAGCCTGGGCCCACCCAGTTACCGTGTGTTGTCACGAGGAGGCACAGCAGGAGTCTTGATGGTGAGGAGGCTGTGCTCCGGCAGAGAAGACTTATGCAAGTTGCTTCCCTGTTCGCCACGAAGGCTAGCCAGCGGCGGTAACTGAAAGCGAGAGGGAGCAAACAGTGCTTGCACCTTAACACTAACATAATGCTGCCCACTGGACTCATTATACCACCCTGTGTGCGCACTCACATACACACACATCACTACCCTCGTCAGACACACATACAAGTCAATTCCCTCGTCATACACTCACGCAGTATATAAAGGAAAGCTTATGACAACAGACATACCTCTTGATAGTGTCATTCAGTGCTGCTTCTATTTGGCGGTTCTTCTCCTTCAGCCTGGAGTTGTGCTCTGCCAACCGCTCACGTTCCTCACTAGTAGTATTGTACTCCTCCTGAAGGACCCGCAGTAGCGTCTCACCCTCCTGGAGCTGAGTGTACAACGTTTTTACATCACCCAAGCACTGTCCTATAGTCTGCTTATCACGGCTATCTGTAAGAATGGATGTTGTGGTCACTGTCATGTACTGGTGGAGTGTGTTGTGGTCACTGTCATGTACTGGTGGAGTGTGTTGTGGTCACTGTCATGTACTGGTGTAGTGTGTTGTGGTCACTGTCATGTACTGGGGGAGTGTGTTGTGGTCACTGTCATGTACTGGTGGAGTGTGTTGTGGTCACTGTCATGTACTGGGGCAGTGTGTTGTGGTCACTGTCATGTACTGGTGGAGTGTGTTGTGGTCACTGTCATGTACTGGTGGAGTGTGTTGTGGTCACTGTCATGTACTGGGGCAGTGTGTTGTGGTCACTGTCATGTACTGGTGGAGTGTGTTGTGGTCACTGTCATTCTCTCTCTTCCTCTCCCACTGCCTCCTTCCCTCCCTTCAATTCTCTTCTCTCTCTCACTCATCCACCTTTTCCTTTCTTCCTCCATTCTCTCCATCCCTCACTCTCTACCTACATTCTCTCTCTATCCTTCTCTCCTCCCGTCTCTACTTTCTTCCTTCCTACCTCCATTTTCTCTCTCCCTCCCTCCCTTCTCTCCCTCCTTTCTTCCACCTCCCCCCCCCCACCTTTCCCCCTTCCTTCTTCCCTCCCTATTTCTCCTCACCTCGGTCAGCAGAAGCGTCCACAAGGTTCTCTATCAGTCTTGTCTGGTTCACCATCATTGTTTGTGTCTCTGCAAAAGCGAAATTAAATTCACTAGGGACCGTAACAGACCTGAGATTTAAAGATGGTAGTAACGCAGCATCAGATCAGGACAAGGTAAGAGACGTTAAACAAATTCGTTTCTTCGGTGTTCACAAGAGAGTACATGAACAAATCTCCCTGCGTTTGGGGAAATGCTGGTTGACACACTGACTCACACTACAAGCTGGTGGTGATATGTTATACTACTGGTACTGACTCACACTACAAGCTGTTGGTGATATGATTATACTACTGGTACTGACTCACACTACAAGCTGGTGGTGATATGATTATAATACTGGTACTGACTCACACTACAAGCTGGTGGTGATATGGTTATACTACTGGTACTGACTCACACTACAAGCTGGTGGTGATATGATTATACTACTGGTACTGACTCACACTACAAGCTGTTGGTGATATGGTTATACTACTGGTACTGACTCACACTACAAGCTGGTACTGACTCACACTACAAGCCGGTGGTGATATGATTATACTACTGGTACTGACTCACACTACAAGCTGTGGTGATATGGTTATACTACTGGTACTGACTCACACTACAAGCCGGTGGTGATATGGTTATACTACTGGTACTGACTCACACTACAAGCTGGTGGTGATATGGTTATACTACTGGTACTGACTCACACTACAAGCTGGTGGTGATATGGTTATACTACTGGTACTGACTCACACTACAAGCCTAACCTAACCTTTACCTGTCAGTGTGCATTACAATCTTATTTCTCTGATACATTATGCTTACCTTCCACCGCCTCCAGTAGTGTTTTGTATCTACGGTCCTCAAGCAACTGTGGTGTAGAATAGGTGTTTCGAGGTGGCCCTGTTGTTTCCGGGTTGTCCTGGGAGGTTGTGTTGATGCTAGGATGTGGAGGTGGCACTGTTGTTTCTGGGTTGTCCTGGGAGGTTGTGTTGATGCTAGGATTGGAGGTGGCTCTGTTGTTTCTGGGTTGTCCTGGGAGGTTGTGTTGATGCTTGGATATGGAGGTGGCACTGTTGTTTCCGGGTTGTCCTGGGAGGTTGTGTTGATGCTAGGATATGGAGGTGGCACTGTTGTTTCCGGGTTGTCCTGGGAGGTTGTGTTGATGCTTGGATATGGCACTGTTGTTTCCGGGCTGGGAGGTTGTGTGATGTAGGATTCCGGGTTGTCCTGGGAGGTTGTGTTGATGCTAGGATGTGGAGGTGGCACTGTTGTTTGTGTCCTGGGAGGTTGTGTTGATGCTAGGATGGAGGTGGCACTGTTGTTTCCGGGTTGTCCTGGAGGGTTGATGCTGGATATGGAGGTGGCACTGTTGTTTCCGGGTTGTCCTGGGAGGTTGTGTTGATGCTAGGATATGGAGGTGGCACAGTTGTTTCAGAGTTGTCCTGGGAGGTTGTGTTGATGCTAGGATATGGAGGTAGCACTGTTGTTTCTGAGTTGTCCTGGGAGGTTGTGTTGATGCTAGGATGTGGAGGTGGCACTGTTGTTTCTGGGTTGTCCTGGGAGGTTGTGTTGATGCTAGGATATGGAGGTGGCACTGTTGTTTCAGAGTTGTCCTGGGAGGTTGTACTGATGCCCGGAACTTCAAATGGCACCATAGTTGAGTTAGCATGACTGACCGTTACCCGTAAGCAAAATATAGTCAACAGAAGCGCGGTTAGTGTCGAGTGGCAACCCATTCTGAGTCCCGGTAACCGTGAAGTGGTACTGAACTTCACAACACTATAGCTTCAACAGTAGACAAGCCCCGTCCTGTCACGGGAGGGGGTGGGTGGCGAATGTGAGGAGAGCCACATGACCAATACCACACAACAGGAAATGAGGTTAGGTTGCCAAGTGTTCATAAACGTATACCAAGTTAACAAGGATTACACTGATGCCACCTCCTCTCGGGGATCACGAGATCTTAAGCCTGTAGAGCGTGTTGACGACCTGTAGAGTGTGTTGACGACCTGTAGAGTGTGTTGACCTGTAAAGTGTGTTGACGACCTGTAAAGTGTGTTGACGACCTGTAAAGTGTGTTGACGACCTGTAAAATGTGTTGACGACCTGTAGTGTGTTGACGACCTGTAGAGTGTGTTGCCGAACTGTAAAGTGTGTTGATGACCTGTAGAGTATGTTGATGACCTGTAGAGTGTGGTGACAAGCATATGTTGTAGCATTTCTAACCCTGAGTATATGTAGTAAGAAGTAAGAAAAGGATTGAGTATTTTAGGTTAGGATTAAGGTAGGCTGGCGTTAGGTTAGATTAGGTTAGGTTGGGTTAGGTTAAGGTAGACTGCGGTTAGGGAGGTTATTCTTCAGATGAGTGGAAGTCTTATAACATATCAGAGGTTGGTATGTGAACAGGGGTACCAAGTGACAGCACTAGGATCCCACTTCCTCTATCAAGGAATAAACAATTGAATTGAATTGGTATGTGACAAAGTTTTCCTGGGTGGGTCAAGAGAGCGCGTTAATACTGTTGCCAGAGTGGCCGCTATCATTGCCACAGTTGGTTAAGTCGTTCAGTAACATGGTTTTCCTAGAGTGATAGATAGTGTGAAAAAACATTACACAAGTTGTTACGACCGTGTCCTATTTTTCTATTTTTTATATAACATGCTTCCATGTTCCATATTATTCCTGTAATGATGTGTTGTATTTACTATTATATAATCTAGTCACCTTAACCCTGTGCTGTTAAGGTTTTAACTGTTATTATTTGTTCAAGCCCATTTTGTATTGTAACCAGCATTCTTTGTTCTCTAACGACCATCTGCATCGTTAAACGACCCACCGGCGGGTCGCGTGGCGGGAGCCGACCTTATATATAGGACCCACCAACTGACGGAGTTAGTTCAGTCCTCTTGTCATACAGTTCACATCCTTTGAGTGACACTTGTTACTTATACTTAATTTATTTGTGTTGTTCCTGTCGCCACCAATGTGGTATATCTATGTGAGTACCTATTTATGTCTCTGTATGTGTCCATCAGTATTTGCTTAGTTACATTTAAGTAATTCAGGGTTTCACGTTAGTTAATTTCAGTGTTAGTTTTTATATGTTTATGCAGTGTTAACGTAATCCAATGCTTTATTTTTATTCTTTTGATGTTTCGATGTTTAGTATCATTTGTGTCTTAAAAGTTTCGATGGTGAATCAATTTGTTGTGACAGCCTACGAGGCTCTTTATTGTGTTAATATTTAATTTAATTAAATTCTTAAAGGTTTACTTTATTTATTTTTATTCCCTTTTAATTTACTTCACATTTTTGTTTGGTTACGCCTAGAACCTGGATATTTAAGTAAATTAAGAGACGGCGTAACAAAGTTTACATTCACTCTATGTGTTATGCCATGACTTAACGACTTGAATTACGTTAAAGATTAATATAATAATGAGAGCACATATGGCACAACAAAAACAAATTGGCAACTCGGCACAGCTTAGTTCTTAATATTTATCATTTAACATTTAATGTTACTTCAATACACGACAACAATGTTAAATGTGAGTTACAAACACAAATAAGGAGGAAATTGTGCGTCATGGGTTCAGTCACAGCCTCTTTACCACAACAGTTCAGGAGTAAAGGTTGGGAATTATACACGGCACACAAAGTTAAATAAAATTTAATAATAAAAGTTTATAATAAGTGTGCAGGTTACATCATGAACAGATACATTAATTCAAGAGAATAAAGAATAAACATAATCCTTAATAATAATAATAATAATAATTAACTGTTTATTGAGAGCTTGGCAGCCAGAAGGCTGAAAATATACAGTTACATATTTGGGGAATGGGTTTCGAATTACAAATAATATACAAGTCACATAAGTAACACAAATAAGACATATAATAACTAGATGGGGAAAAGCTCAAACTACAGTGCATTTCAACATAGTCACAGTGCAAGAAGTAGTATTTACTGGGAGTGAATACACTGGTTGATTACAAGTTATTGATAATTTTTACAATGGTTGGGACTGGGCTGTTCTTATAGCGATCAGTTCGTGCACGTATGGGCTGGATGCGGTTGTGGTGTCGAACAGCAATTCTCGGGCTAGGGATCTCAGGTGGTAGTAGGAGCCGGTGTCGAGGATGGTGTAGAAGCTTCTTACCAAATTTGCAGATGAAGTCGTGGTGATGGTCAGTGAGAGTCGAAAGGGTCAGTGTGTTGAGCGCTTCTTGATATGTGGAGTAGGAAGGGGAGAGAATAATCTTGCATGCCTTCTTTTGCACTTTTTCTAGGTGTTTACGTTGTGTGGCATTTAGGGAGGAAGACCAGGTGGGGGAGGCATAGGTGAGCTTGGGAAGTATGAATGTTGTGTAAACACTGAGGAGCTCGTGTGCAGGAACTCCGAGGGACTTGAGTCGGCGGAGGAGGTGGAGACGGAAACTGGAGGATTTGACAACTTCACTGACGTGTGGTTTCCAATTTAGTTTGTTGTCTATGGTGACGCCGAGGAGCTTCGTGGAATCTACCACCTGGAGTGTGTTCGGACCTAGAGTAATGGAAGGAGGTGGGACAATGTCGGAGGAAAGGTTGATGTGCATAACCATGGTCTTGGTATGGTTGATGGTGACATGGTTGTTAGTGGCCCAGTTTTGGAGACTGTTCAATAAATCCTGAAGGGCGGTATAGTTGGGAGCAGAATTGTTGACGCTGATCCCAATGGTGGAGTCGTCGACATATTTCCAGCGAGCAGGGGTTTCTCTTAGGGCATCATTGATGAGCATAAGGAAGCAGAGTGGTCCCATCTTGGTGCCTTGGGGGACGCCACAGGCGAGTGACTGAAAGGTGGAGACAGCCCCTCGGAAGCGTACAGCTTGGCGTCGGTCACTGAGGAAGTCTGTAAGCCATGGTATAAGACTTCTCCGAAGCCCGAGGTCGACAGCTAGCTTTGTTGATGATTAGAATTGTATTACGACTAGGTCAATGCAATTTAGTTCGTAGCTGATTTAAGGATTGTGGGCTGGTTGACTTGGGCACTGGTGATACATAAGAGGTCTTCCAGTCAGCTGGGCATCTGGCTTGACTGAGAGAAGCATTGATGATGGAGTACAGTATATAAACAATAAACTACCTTAAAACACAATAATTGATTGCACTTTACACACAATAAATAATAACAGAACAACACTGAATATATAATACTCCACTAAACCCCATTTGAAAAGGTTGTAGTGGATTCCTCCCCTACAAGCACCGAACCTCCGCCTCCAGCGCCACCCACGGAGCGGGGGTCAGCTATCTACCCCCGCCTTATAAGTTCTGACACCACTGACAAACTCAGGTATCCTCTCATCAGTAACTGTGTAAGACAAAACCCCATATCCCGGGGGACACCAAGCCTAAAAGCACTAATGTTAAACAACTCCTACATTAAGCTGCAAAAATAGTTAAACACACATTCAGAATTTTTTTTTTACGTATCAGTACCAGTCCTGGTCACACATAATTATACAAAATATTTTACATAAGTTGAGGGTAAAAACATTAAAATATTTCACTATCCACAACGCAATGTGCAATACGCCATGCATAACCACTGTATAAAGAATGTACAGGTATGCAATTTAAATAGTGCAAGTATGAAATGTACATAGACAGTGCAGGAGGTGTTGCTTGCTGGTGGCTGGAGGTAGAAAGAGAGTTGTCATATTACTACGATTTAACAACGATGGTCTTCAAGCGTGTAATAAGGTTAATAAATACACTATTCTAACAACATGAGAGATATGGGAGGAAATTATGAATAAATATTTTCAGTATTTCATTAGACATCCAAATTTTCCACAACGATATTTAATAAGTGTTTTATCCATAATGATAGAGATCGGTAACACGCTGCGGTTAAACCAAATATGAACATTATGACTGAAACAGGAAGAAGAGTCGAGTCGTCTCATTATCCACAGTCAGGCACACTACAGACCTGTTGTAATATTTCTCGGAAAACCCTTCACTAATGAGGCTGCAAAACGTTTCTTGACACTCTTATTTATGTACGGAGAAGGGCTCGTGTGTTCAGAGAGTTGTTTGTGTGAACATTCCTGTGGCTATGATGGTGGTAGTGATGTCGCCACGATTATATTTTTTTATTTATTTCATTTACACCGTAGAGTTTATATACAGTAATCTGATAAGTGGGTGTGAGCGATACAACACGGGTAGTGCTGGGGTGAAACAAAAAGACAGATGGACACTCATGAACATGTATTGACGGCAGAATATTTAATTATTGCATTGGAAATTTCATTTAAACAATGTCATCTCTGATCACAACCCACAAAGGATACAGTAAACGAGACAGCAACAGAGAATGGAGGGGGGCCGGAATCAATACCAAGACCAGAGTCATTACCGAGGACAATTTCCGGCTTGAAAGTCGTGTACACTAATACTGACACATTCCTCGACAAGAGAGCGGAGTTTGTAACACTACTGAAGGTACTGTAGGGGTATCGAGATATTAATGTTGTCTAGCACTCAGGATGGAAGGAAACTCTTATGTGGTTTTCTTGTATAATATATAAGTTATATGATAGACAGTCTGGTGCTGGAGGTGACGTGTGGTGAGGGGCTGCTTGGTAGAGACGTTCGGTGAGTAGCTTGTTGAAGGAGGTAGATGTGCAGGAGCTTCGTTAGAGAAGATGTTGCCTGTTGCTGGCCTCCTGGTTGAAATAAATGTTAACAGCGTGGAGCTTGCTGGAGGAGGTGTTGCTTGTTCAGGAAGATGGGCAGAATGAGAGTTGGTTGGTGAGGAAGCTCAGAGAAGGACAGCTGGTGGGTCGCCATGCTCGC